ACGTTAGACACTAACACGGCCAGACACTGGCCCGGTGGTCCAGAGATTCGTCGTTCGCGCTCAAGACTGAAGGTCTTGTGTTCGAGTCCTGCGAACAGCAGGATTCATGTATACTTACTGCTGATGAGCCCTAAACTAGGACGAAACGACCGTTTTTCAGTGCTTCCAGGTTTTTAATAGTGGTCTAACATCGACTAACTCTTGATTTCAATTAAGTAACTCAATAATCTCCACAACCCTATCATGTATACTGAAGAATGTCTTGCGTGACAATTGCAGTCAATAAGACATTCGCTTCTGCTATTACCTTCTCACTCATGTAACAAGTTTAATAGGACTTATCACGTATCGCGATCATCAAATCTCGGTCATCACACATCATAACACTCAGTCGGTTGTGTAAACGAGGTAAAGCTCGATGTTCTTCAGAAACTCTTTACACTAATGACAAAAAACTATTGTATCCCTTTGTGTTCATTTAATCTCATAATGAACAAAGTTACCAGTGACCTGATAAAAAGTTATTAACTATTGATTCGTGATTACAACCAATTATCACGTTTAACGTTATGATCAAAACATCAAAGTGAATTATTATACAAACTGTTTGTACTGCAGGTTGATATTTAGGAGCTATCATTTTATCAAGTGATAATTAGTTTATGGTTAAAAATGTTATCTCGTATACATAAATTTGAGAAAATTTTTCATTCTGCTCATAAATCATAATAGATTTCATGTTGTATTCTATAAACCAACCCAAAATAACAACATATATCATCTTTCTATTGAAATGTTTACCAAATTTTTTTTAAATTTATGATATTTAGAGTTGAGAAGATTGTTGAGTTTCATCAAAATGTCCAATCGATCATTGTTAGACAACCATTAAAAGTCATTGGACTAGGAAGGGACTCATAAGCAATGAGCATGGACGACCCCTGCTCGTGGGAATCGAACCCAGGGCGTCTTCCAGATCAATGAGTTGGCATCCGACAGGGTTGATTGTGGTGGTGTTCCGTCCTCTGAGCTGGATGTGAAGCTTTCGTTGTTGTTCTTCTGAACAACATTATCAGCACAAACAGCAGAAAAGCACTAAAATCTCTACAACAAAAACATCCAGCTCAGAGAACGAGACACCACCACAATCATTCACCTGAGCTACAAATTTTCTCCACCAACTCAATGGTATTAATGTTTACGTTTAATGAATCAAAGGTATTGCGTAACTTCATTCATTGTCTTTGATAGGTGACTGCCTACACTCGACAGGATTGAAATCTACTGGTCACAGCTTCTCACTAGAATTTCGAGGATCTTCTCACGAAGCTTAGTCACCAGTTAGCACATTTTCATTGTAGCAATGCGAAGTAAGTATGTAAGTATTACCCTATCGATATCACCTCCAAATTGCAACTATAAATTTATATGTAAATGCAGTAAAAAGTATATTAAAAGATAGACCGAGAGAGACAGGTTTCTACAAAGTTTTCTAACTGTAGTCCGT